AGCGGAAGGGAGAGACAAGGAATATTGGAGAAGGGGGGGGGGGGGTAATAACCGTATTTGACGTCATGAGCCGTACTCTAGGATTGCACTGACACCTCGCGATCTCACAGCTGTAGTGCACTGCATTGTTGCACAGTAGCTTCATGCAGCGCGTCTACATACACGTAAACACAGCAGCAATACAGAAAACATTATAATGTAAACAAAATAATACAAAAAAACCCCCAGCACCATAGGCAGTGATCCATGTCTTTCCTAAATTCAGAAACATAACTTAGTGACTGTTTTATTCCCTCTGATCTCATTATCTTACCAACTCCCTCGGGAAAACAAAACAAACAAACAAAAAGTTCAGCTTGAATCCTAATTTTACACAATCCAAATTAAATCGAATACTAAATGTATCAGCTACAGAAAGCCAGGGCTATAGAAAAAATACAATAATTTCTGTTATGTTCCTAAAATTCGCTTACCTCTCCAGAATCTCTCCTCCTGCGATCTGGTATGACTAGAGTATTTCCATTACTCCCCGGGACTAAAGTAGAGCCGATACTCATTCTGGGTCCAACTAACATGTACCGTTTGTCTCCAGATCTGTACTGGATGCTGTGACACATAGTCCCGTCGTAATTTGTGTCCTGTAAATACTTGGACGAATAGTCTGTCGATTTAGAGCACTGCATTGCAATCAACACGATGATGCTGATGACAAAAAGCACTGAAACCGAGCCCAAAGTGATGATCAAATAAAATGTCACGTTGTTTTCCTCCTCGTCTTTTACTGCGTTTTTCACATCAGTAGCTGCAAAAGCCTCTTTGGGCTCCACAACTTTGACAATCACAGTCGCTGTTGCTGAGAGTGAAACGTTCCCATTGTCTTTGACCAGTATGAGCAGTTTATGCTGGGCCTCGTCTGTTTCTGTGAATGAGCGAAGGGTCCTTATCTGTCCTGTATAGCGGTCCAAACTAAAGAGACTGTGGTCACTAACTTCCTGCAGTGAAAATAATAACCAGCCGTTGTATCCTATATCTGCGTCATAGGCTCTGACTTTAGTCACCAAATGACCTGCGTTCACATTACGGGGAATCTCTTCCACACCCTCAGCAGAACCGTTAGCGCTGACTGGATATAAGATCACTGGAACGTTGTCGTTCTGATCCAGAATAAACACGTTCACTGTCACGTTACTGCTCAGAGACGGAGTTCCAGAGTCCGTAGCAACAACTTGGAACTGGAACGTTTTAACTGCTTCGAAATCAAAAGTTTTAAGTGAATAAATAACTCCTGTTTCTGAATTTATATTCAAGAATGACGTCATGTCGTTCTGTGTCACTCCACCTCTGTTTATTTGATACGATATCAAGGCATTTTCATTCACGTCTTTATCAGATGCTCTCACTGAGAATATGGAGGCTCCAGGAGCATTATTTTCAAATATGTAGAGCTCAAGGAAATTACTAGAAAATTCAGGCTGGTTGTCATTCACATCTGCTACTTGGATGCTTAAAGTTGTGATGGATGATAAGGGCGGCTGGCCTAGATCTGTTGCTGTAATTGTGATGTCATAATGAGGCACAAGTTCACGATCCAAACGCCCCTTTGTCACCAGTGAATACATATTATCTTGAAAAGAGTGTTTCAACTCGAAAGGAACATTCTTTGAGAGACTACATACAACTTTACCATTAACACCAGAGTCTTTATCTGAGACACTAATCAACGCAATTACTGTTCCAGGTTTACAGTCTTCAGCAACAATATTAGATAATGAAGTCAGCTCAATTTCAGGCATATTATCGTTTATATCTTGTATGTTTATAATAACTCGACCTTGGGCAGACAAAGGAGGCTGACCTTTATCTGAAGCCTGAACATCCAGTTTATAAACGTCTGTGTCCTCAAAGTCTATCGCGCCTTTAACCTTGATTTCGCCTGTAATGCGATCCAACTGAAATATGTCATAAACTTTGCGCTTTAAAGTTTTACCAAGCGCATACTCAATTTCACTGTTTGGGCCCTCGTCGCTATCAGATGCATTTATTTTAATCACAGTCGTTCCAATTGGGGAATTTTCCTGTAAACTGACAGAATATGTGTCTTGACTGAACACGGGACGATTATCATTACTATCCAGTACAGTAACGGTTATGTTAAGGGTACCTGATTTTGGAGGGTTTCCACCATCGAGGGCTTTCAAAATTAGCAGGTGTTCTGACTTATGTTCGCGATCGAGTGGTTTTTTCAACACTAAAAAGGGGATTTTTTCCTCATCGCTGTTTCTGATGTAAATCTCGAAATTTTCATCCTGACTCAATTTATACAAACGAACAGAATATGGTGAGGCATCCTGGTCTCGTGCTGCGTGCAGCTGAAAGCTCGTTCCTAAAGGGGTGTGCTCTGCAATCTCGAAATGTTGATTCTGTTCAGAAAAACTAGGATGGTTGTCATTTATGTCTGTTACTTCAACTGCAACATAGTGAATTTCTAAAGGATTTTCGACCGCAGTTTTTAGATTTACTACACATGCACCGTTTCCATCACAAAGCTCCTCTCTGTCTATGCTTTTATGAATATACAATTCGCCATTGTTCTGATTTACTTGGAAAAACGCATCTTTAGAACCAGAGACGATACGGAACCGTCTGTCCACCAAAGTACTCACGTCAAGTCCCAGATCCTTAGCAATATTTCCCACAACAGATCCCTCTTTTATTTCCTCTGGAACAGTGTATCTTATCTGAGCTGAAACCTGCGGTCCGAAGCAGAGAAGAAAAGAGAAACACAAAGCCATCCACCAGTTCTGCCATCTGCGCCTTTGTTCATCCATCGTTAAGAATTCCTTTAAAACAGCTTAAAACAAATAACGGTGGTGTTCAGTTGAAATGGCCTATTCCCAGATGCAACAATCTTGATTAAATTACATCGATAAAACTCTAGAACATTTATATTTCCGCTTCTCGCGATATACTCGTCAGCTGCTGTCACAGTTTAACTGAACGGAACAGCCATGCGCACCACATGTAGATAGGCAGGGGCAAAGCTCTACTTCATATCCTAATGTAACACTGACACCGCATGGTTCAAAAAGAGAGACTCCTTTTGTACCAAGACTCTCACGTAAAAAACAAAAACAAAAAACAATATTTCAAAAATAAATTTTGAAATACTGTTCAACTCAAGACAATTCATAACATTTGAACAATATACATAGTGAAAAAGTATTTTTCAAACAAACTATGAAACGAAAGGATTATTACCCTACAAAGGTGAAACCTTTCAGCACCATGGACAACGAATATTTATTCCAGCGTTCAACGCTTAATTCCCAAGCAACACTGAATAAAAACAAAAAAATCTTATTAGTCAGAACATAAAATATCCCACATAGTCAATTAGATCCTGAAAAAAAAGTCAAATTTGATGACAGTAAGCCTGAGAAAGTGTTGTTTAATATAGTTCACATACTCTTACCTCTCCAGAATCTCTCCTCCTGCGGTCTGGTATCACTAGAGTATTTCCATTACTGCCCGGGACTATAGTAGAGCCGATACTCATTCTGGGGTATCCATTGGAGGGCGTCCCTTATCAGATGCCATGATGTTCAGACTAAAAATTTCGTTCTCTTCAAAATCGATTTTGCCTTTGACACGTATTTCACCTGTCACTTTATCCAGATCAAAAATATCATGTACTTCTCGCTGCACGTTTCTACCGTAAGTATATTCAACTTCTCCATTAACGCCCTCATCTGGGTCAGTTGCATTAACAAATGTTACAGTAAAACCGGGAGAGGCGTTTTCTTTCAAAGAAATAGTGTATGTGTCTCTGTTGCATACTGGACGGTTGTCGTTAACGTCGAGGACCGAGACAGTTATATTTAAAGAGCCTGATTTTGGTGGATTTCCACCATCGATGGCAGTAAATGTTAAGACGTGTTTCTCTTGACTTTCCCGGTCTAAGGGTTTTAGTAAAAGCAGAAAAGGACTTTTATCTCCGTATTCACTGTCTCTTACCTCTATCTCAAAATTATCATTTTGTCCGAGGCGATAAAATCGAACAGAATTAACGCCAAAATCCAAATCTCTTGCGGTTGGAAGACCAAAGCGAGTGCCCTTTAAAGTGTTTTCCGCTATTTTAATCTGCAAGTCTTTTTCTGGGAAAGATGGGAAGTGATCATTAACATCTGTTATTTCAACCTCAACATAGTGAACTTCGAGTGGATTTTCAACTGCAATCTTTAAGTTTAGCAAACATGCGCCATTGCCATCACAAATCTCCTCTCTGTCGATTTTCTTATGAACGTACAAGATGCCATTGTTCTGATTTACCTGGAAAAAGCTGTCCTTAGATCCAGAAACAATACGGAATCGTCTGTGCTCTAACGAACTGATATCAAGACCGAGATCTTTAGCGATATTTCCCACTTGTGATCCCACTTTCACTTCCTCCGGAATAGAATATCTGATCTGTGCTGAAACAGGCTGTTCACAATGCATCATCAAACACAAAGCAATCCAGCAGTATCCCCATATGCGCCTTTGTCCATCCTTATCCATCGCGAGTGATTACAGCAAGAGCATTCCAGAACCAGATATGTATTATCCGTGATTATTCTCAACAGGATAAGCCGTGTAGTACCAGAAATCAGGAAATAGTTCAAATTATGTCTTATGTCGCATCGTCAGCCCACCGTAAGCACTATAGTTTTCTTCGGCTCACAGTGGCTCCTGAAATGTACAGAACAATGTAGCAATGCGCATGTCACCATCTAGGGCAGGGCATAATTTCTCCATCATATCATAGAGCAATACTGACACCGAGCGGTCTACTGTTCATTTCAAACAACTAATCTCTTAAATATTATGAATTATTCTGGAGGATTTAGCAACTCTGTACACTCTAAAAAATGCTGGGTTGTTTCAACCCAATGTTGGGTCAAATATGGACTAACCCAACTGTTGGGTCAAAAAGTTAATTTAAAAATGTAACCAAAATTTAACCCAGCAGTTGGGTTAGTCCATATTTGACCAAACATTGAGTTGAAACAACCCAGCATTTTTTAGAGTGTATCATTCCCTGTTGAACCCATTACAAAGGTCACTTAATGTGAAAATCCCATAAAAAAATTGAATGGTGCCATAGCTGAAAAAAATAGCAGTTCAATCGAATCATGGACATAAATACTTTAAAATTATTTATAAAGCAAAGACAAAAATGCGTGATTGCATCTGAAAAAAAAATCTAGAAATGATGGGATTTAAGATTGCATGTTTTCAGTCATTTCTGACCATTGACAGTGTAACTTTATTTCTTAACTACGAAATGCAAATAAATAAATAAATAGATAAAAATCGCCGACGCAGTGATCAACTTTCTGCACGCTTAGGATATGTACGATCAGACGACAAAAGCTGTCAAACAAAGTATGCTACTGAACAAGATTTTGTGCTGTGAGGTCATTACTATGTAACGGCATACTACATATACAGTATAAAAATGTCAAAGCAAAATGATAGCTGTAATTGCAATTAATCTGTTATTCTTACCTCTCCAGAATCTCTCCTCCTGCGATCTGGGATCACTAGAGTATTTCCATTACTGCCCGGGACTATAGTAGAGCCGATACTCATTCTGGGTCCAACTAACATGTACCGTTTGTCTCCAGATCTGTACTGGATGCTGTGACACATAGTCCCGTCGTAATTTGTATCCTGTAAATACTTGGGCGAATAGTCTGTCGATTTAGAACACTGCATTACAATCAAGAAGATGATGCTGATGACAAAAAGCACTGAAACCGAGCCCAAAGTGATGATCAAATAAAATGTCGCGTTGTTTTCCTCCTCGTCTTTTACTGTGTGTTTAACATCAGAAGCTGCAAAAGCCTCTTTGGTCTCCATATCTTTGACAATCACAGTCGCTGTTGCTGAGAGACATCGGACACCTCTATGCTCAGAGATTTTGAAGATGAAAGAGCTGGGTTGCCTAAATCAGTAGCTGTTACTGTGATGTCATAATGGGACGCAGCCTCCCGGTCCAAACTCTCTTTGGTTACAAGAGAATACATGTTCTGCTGGACATATGGTTTCAGCTCAAACGGTACATTCTTTGACAAGCTGCAAACAACTTTACCATTAATCCCTGAATCTTTGTCTGTTATGCTAATAAGAGAAATGACTGTCCCTGGCTTTGAGTCTTCAGAAGCAATATTAGAAAGCGACGTTACTTCAATCTCAGGTTCATTATCATTGACGTCAATAATCTTAATTACAACTCTGCAGTCAGTGTTCGTAGGAGGGCGTCCCTTATCAGATGCTTTAATGTTTAGGCTATAAATTTCGTTCTTTTCAAAATCGATTTTGCCTTTGACACGTATTTCACCTGTCACTTTATCCAGATCAAAAATATCATGTACTTCTCGCTGCACGTTTCTACCGTAAGTATATTCAACTTCTCCATTAACGCCCTCATCTGGGTCAGTTGCATTAACAAATGTTACAGTAAAACCGGGAGAGGCGTTTTCTTTCAAAGAAATAGTGTATGTGTCTCTGTTGCATACTGGACGGTTGTCGTTAACATCGAGGACCGAGACAGTTATATTTAAAGAGCCTGATTTTGGTGGATTTCCACCATCGATGGCAGTAAATGTTAAGACGTGTTTCTCTTGACTTTCCCGGTCTAAGGGTTTTTGTAAAAGCAGAAAAGGACTTTTATCTCCGTATTCACTGTCTCTTACCTCTATCTCAAAATTATCATTTTGTCCGAGCCGATAGGACCGAACAGAATTTACCCCAACATCTAAATCTCTTGCGGTTGGAAGATCGAAGCGAGAACCTTTTACAGTATTTTCTGCAATTTCTACGTGAACGTCTTTTTCGTGGAAGGCGGGGAAGTGATCATTAACATCTGTTATTTCAACCTCAACATAGTGAACTTCGAGTGGATTTTCAACTGCAATCTTTAAGTTTAGCAAACATGCGCCATTGCCATCACAAATCTCCTCTCTGTCGATTTTCTTATGAACGTACAAGATGCCATTGTTCTGATTTACCTGGAAAAAGCTGTCCTTAGATCCAGAAACAATACGGAATCGTCTGTGCTCTAACGAACTGATATCAAGACCGAGATCTTTAGCGATATTTCCCACTTGTGATCCCACTTTCACTTCCTCCGGAATAGAATATCTGATCTGTGCTGAAACAGGCTGTTCACAATGCATCATCAAACACAAAGCAATCCAGCAGTATCCCCATATGCGCCTTTGTCCATCCTTATCCATCGCGAGTGATTACAGCAAGAGCATTCCAGAACCAGATATGTATTATCCGTGATTATTCTCAACAGGATAAGCCGTGTAGTACCAGAAATCAGGAAATAGTTCAAATTATGTCTTATGTCGCATCGTCAGCCCACCGTAAGCACTATAGTTTTCTTCGGCTCACAGTGGCTCCTGAAATGTACAGAACAATGTAGCAATGCGCATGTCACCATCTAGGGCAGGGCATAATTTCTCCATCATATCATAGAGCAATACTGACACCGAGCGGTCTACTGTTCATTTCAAACAACTAATCTCTTAAATATTATGAATTATTCTGGAGGGTTTAGCAACTCTGTATCGTGCACAATAAAGCGTTACATCCCCTGTCGAACCCATTACAAGAGTCACTTAAGTGAAAATACCATTATAAAATTGAATATCACTATAACTAAAAATGTAGCAATTTAAACGGATCATGAACATAAATAAATTTAAAGTACTCATATAGCTAAGACAAAAATGCGTGATTTCGTAAGAATGCCCATACAAATAAGATAAAATAATCAGTATAAAATACACCTCTGAAAAAAAGCACACAAAAAAAATAAATAATGAGATTTGAGTTTACATGTATATTTTCAGTAATTTGCTACCAATTACATTTTTAATGCCTTCGTAAAAATAAAAATAAAAGAATTTAATCAGGAACGAAATGAACAGCTCCCTGCAATACGATCAGACAGTAAAAGCTGTCAAACAAAGTAGGCTACTGGACAAGATTTTGTGCTGTGAAATCATAACTAATTAAAGACATAACATATTCCATAAATTAAAACTATAATGCATAACAATATCAAAGCAAAATGGTAGCTGTAATTAGTATGAACCTGCTATTCTTACCTCTCCAGAATCTCTCCTCCTGCGGTCTGGGATCACTAGAGTATTTCCATTACTGCCCGGGACTAAAGTAGAGCCGATACTCATTCTGGGTCCAACTAACATGTACCGTTTGTCTCCAGATCTGTACTGGATGCTGTGACACATAGTCCCGTCGTAATTTGTGTCCTGTAAATACTTGGACGAATAGTCTGTCGATTTAGAGCACCGCATTACAATCAACACGATGATGCTGATGACAAAAAGCACTGAAACCGAGCCCAAAGTGATGATCAAATAAAATGTCACGTTGTTTTCCTCCTCGTCTTTTACTACGTTTTTCACATCAGAAGCTGCAAAAGCCTCTTTGGGCTCCACAACTTTGACAATCACAGTCGCTGTTGCTGAGAGTGAAACGTTCCCATTGTCTTTGACCAGTATGAGCAGTTTATGCTGGGCCTCGTCTGTTTCTGTGAATGAGCGAAGGGTCCTTATCTGTCCTGTATAGCGGTCCAAACTAAAGAGACTGTGGTCACTAACTTCCTGCAGTGAAAATAATAACCAGCCGTTGTATCCTATATCTGCGTCATAGGCTCTGACTTTAGTCACCAAATGACCTGCGTTCACATTACGGGGAATCTCTTCCACACCCTCAGCAGAACCGTTAGCGCTGACTGGATATAAGATCACTGGAACGTTGTCGTTCTGATCCAGAATAAACACGTTCACTGTCACGTTACTGCTCAGAGACGGAGTTCCAGAGTCTGTAGCAACAACATGGAACTGGAATGTTTTAACAGTTTCAAAGTCAAAGCTCTTTAGCGTGTGAATAACACCAGTCTCAGAATGTATATTCATGGCAGATGCCATATCGTTCTGTGTCCGACCACCTCTGATGATATGATAAGTTATGGCAGCATTTTCATTAATATCTCTGTCTGATGCACTGACAGAAAATATAGAAGCGCCTAGAGGGTTATTTTCAGTTAAATAAAGCTCTAGAGAATTTGACGAAAATTCTGGGATATTATCATTTACATCTGACACCTGTAAAAATATAGTTTTATACGCTGCCAGAGAAGGGTTACCTAAATCTGTTGCTGTTATTTTGATATTGTATTCAGACACTAACTCTCGGTCTAAACGTTCTTTTGTTACTAGGGAATACATGTTATCTTGAACAGACGGTTTTAATTCAAATGGCACACTGTCAGAAAGGCTACACACAACTTTTCCATTGATTCCAGAATCTTTATCACTTACACTTACGAGAGAAATAACAGTTCCAATTTTTGTGTCCTCCGAAACTACATTTGAAAGAGATGTTACTTGTATTTCTGGTTTATTGTCATTTACATCTTCGACTTTAATGATGAGCTGGCAATCCGTGTTAGTAGGAGGAATCCCTTTGTCTGATGCCCTTACTATCAAACTGTAGATTTCATTTTCTTCAAAGTCAATTAAGCCTCTAACTCGTATTTCGCCAGTCGTCCGATCTAATTGAAATATTTCACGTATTTTTGGTTTCATGTTTCTACCGTATGTATATTCTACTTCACCATTTAGACCACTATCCGCATCACTTGCATTTATAAATATCACTACAGTGTCAATAATTGCATTTTCACGCAGTGTTATCGTTAAGGTATCGCTATTGCATATGGGTCGGTTATCATTTACATCCAGAACAAAGACAGTGATATTAAGAGTGCCTGATTTTGGTGGATTTCCGCCATCTACTGCAGTTAGTAGCAACTTGTGTATTTCAGTGATTTCCCTGTCTAATGGTTTCTGTAATATTAAGAAAGGTGTTTTATCTCCGTATACACTATCTTTAATTTCCAAATCAAAATGCGCATTCTTACTCAGCTGGTAATGTCGAACTGAATTAACTCCCACATCCAGATCTCGAGCAGTTTGAAGTTCAAATCGTGTTCCAGTAACGGTGTTTTCCCAAATCTCTAGATAGAAGTCTTTATCGTGGAAAGAAGGAGAGTGATCATTTACATCTGTGATTTCAACCTCCACATAATGAACCTCGAGGGGTTTTTCGACAACTATTTTCAAATTAATCAAGCAGGCGCTATTTCCATTACACACCTCTTCTCTGTCAATGTGCTTATCCACATACAAGATGCCATTGTTCTGATTTACCTGGAAAAGAGCGTCATTAGATCCAGACACAATACGAAACCGTCTGTCCGCCAATGTACTGACATCAAGACCCAAATCATTAGCACAGTTTCCGACGACAGATCCCACTTTCACCTCTTCTGGAATGGAATATCTAATCTCCGCTGAAACCTGCTGTCCAAAGCACACAAGCAAAGAGAAACACAGACAAATCCACCAGCGCTCCCATCCGCGCCTTTGTCCTCTGGCTTCCATTGCGACCGTTCACCGCAACGTTATTCCAAAGATCAGTATATTCTGGATGATTAGATGCCACAATATAATGTTAGATACATCATGCGAAACAAAATGAATTCACTGTTAATACAGTTAGCACAGCCTGTTACCGTTATACTGTTCATCAGCTCGCAAATGTTTCCTCACAAATGTGAGGAACAATACAGCCCGTTTCGCATCATCATCCAGGGCTGGACGTAATCTCCTATACAAATACTGGAGTAACAGTGACATCGGGTGGTCTACATGAAGACAAATCCTCAAAAGTTTTTCATTGAGCACATAATGTATAAAACCACGTAAAATAATTGCATTCAGTGTCCCACTTACCTACGTCCTACATAATGTCATAAAGTGCATAGATATCACCCAAAAAAACTCGTGCAGACGTGTGTGACAGCACAATAAAGCCACGTTTAATTCACTAGAAATCCAGTCGACTCTTAAGAAAACCGCAACTAATTGCAGCACCAGCGCAGCGGACAGCTCCCTCTACGCTGTCGCTACTTGGAACAACAGCAAACATTTAGACATCCGGTAAAGCATGCACATTGTACTTTTTTGCAAAGCAAAACAATTGTCAGAAATTCTTAACTTGCAGTTAGCTCATCAATTTTATGAGAAACATATTTTGTCGTCTGTCTGTGAAGCTGTACGAGTTAGTAATTGCATACAAAGAAAAAAAATCGTCATTCTTACCTCTCCAGAATCTCTCCTCCTGCGGTCTGGGATCACTAGAGTATTTCCATTACTGCCCGGGACTAAAGTAGAGCCGATACTCATTCTGGGTCCAACTAACATGTACCGTTTGTCTCCAGATCTGTACTGGATGCTGTGACACATAGTCCCGTCGTAATTTGTGTCCTGTAAATACTTGGACGAATAGTCTGTCGATTTAGAGCACCGCATTACAATCAACACGATGATGCTGATGACAAAAAGCACTGAAACCGAGCCCAAAGTGATGATCAAATAAAATGTCACGTTGTTTTCCTCCTCGTCTTTTACTGCGTTTTTCACATCAGAAGCAGCAAAAGCCTCTTTGGGCTCCACGACTTTGACAATCACAGTCGCTGTTGCTGAGAGTGAAACGTTCCCATTGTCTTTGACCAGTATGAGCAGTTTATGCTGGGCCTCGTCTGTTTCTGTGAATGAGCGAAGGGTCCTTATCTGTCCTGTATAGCGGTCCAAACTAAAGAGACTGTGGTCACTAACTTCCTGCAGTGAAAATAATAACCAGCCGTTGTATCCTATATCTGCGTCATAGGCTCTGACTTTAGTCACCAAATGACCTGCGTTCACATTACGGGGAATCTCTTCCACACCCTCAGCAGAACCGTTAGCGCTGACTGGATATAAGATCACTGGAACGTTGTCGTTCTGATCCAGAATAAACACGTTCACTGTCACGTTACTGCTCAGAGACGGAGTTCCAGAGTCTGAGGCAAAAACTTGGAACTGAAACTTTCTAATTACTTCAAAATCAAAGCGGTTTAAGGCGTAAACAACTCCCGTTTCAGAGTTAATGTTGAGGAAAGAGGCCATATCCTTTTGTGCAGCGCCCCCTCTAATAATATAATAAGTAATCATTGCATTTTCATTTAAATCTTTATCGAATGCGCTCACAGACATTACGGAGGCACCAGGTGCGTTATTTTCTACTAAGTACAATTCAAGCGGATCTTGAGAAAATTCAGGACTGTTATCGTTAACATCTGATACCTGAACGCTCAGAGATTTAAACGAAGATAACGGAGGTTTTCCTAAATCAGTGACTGTTATTGTTATGTCATAATGGGACACAAGTTCTCGATCTAATTTTCCTTTAGTTACAAGGGAATAAATATTCTCTTGAACTGATGGTTTCAGCTCAAAGGGAACATTATCAGAAACACTTAGAATTATCTTTCCATTTATACCGGAGTCTTTGTCACTGATGCTAATCAATGAAATTACAGTCCCAGGTTTAGAATCCTCGGAAACTATATTGGAAAGAGACGTGAGGTCTATTTCAGGAGCGTTATCATTTATATCTGCTACTTTAATAATAACGACGGATTCTGCTGCTAAGGGTGGTTGGCCTTTATCAGATGCTTGTACGTCTAACTTGTACAATTCTGTTTCCTCAAAGTCCAGCACACCTTTAATCTGAATTTCACCTGTTGCACTATCGAGTATAAACAGATTTTGCACTTTACGCTTCAGGTTTCTTCCAAAGGCGTATTCTACAACACCATTTAAACCTTCGTCCAAGTCAGTTGCATCAAGTTTTACCAAAATCGTACCGATAGCAGCATTTTCTTTTACCATTACAGAATAGGAGTCTTGACTGAACACAGGGCGGTTATCATTAACATCAAGGACAGTAACAATTATGTTAAGATTTCCTGACCGTGGTGGATTTCCACCATCGATTGCAGTTAGTATTAATCTATGTTCTGCGGCGTTTTCACGGTCAAGTGCTTTCTTTAAAACTAAAAGCGGTATTTTTTCGTCATGTCTGTCCTTAGTCTCAACTTCGAAATACTCATTATTACTCAGTTTATAAGACCGGACATTATTCACAGTCGTATCAGCATCTCGTGCTGTCTGTATTTGGAAACGCGTCCCTGTGGGTGTGTGTTCCGCAATCTCAAAATGCTCCTCCTCTTCTGTGAATGTGGGTGAATTATCATTAACATCAGTTACCTCCACTCCAACATAATGAATTTCCAAGGGATCTTCGACCACCATTTTCAGATTAATCAAGCATGCGCCATTTCCATCACACAGCTCCTCTCTGTCAATTTTCTTATGCACATATAAGACGCCATTGTTTTGATTTACCTCAAAAAGAGTATCCTTTGATCCAGACACAATACGGAATCTCCTGTTTACTAAAGTGCTGACATCAAGGCCAAGATCCTTAGCAATATGTCCTACAACGGATCCTTCTTTCAATTCTTCTGGAATAGAATATTTTATCTGCGCTGAAACTTGCTGTCCAAAACACAGAAGCAAGGAGAAACACAAAGCAATCGACCAATACGCCCATTTGCGCCTTTGTCCTCCGGCTTCCATGACAGAACAATTACTGTGAGACTGCCAGAAATATATCCTCGGCGATTACAAACAACAATGTACAATTTATCTGCGTAATACAATACTATTTAACTGAAAACACACGGAGAACAGATCGCATACTTAAATGCCATTTCGGATTGTACCATCCAGGATAAAAGGAGGACAATACAAACCTACGCGTAATCATCCTGGGCTGGACTTGAAACTTGAAATCAAAAATTAGAGCAACACTGACATCGAGTGGACCATTGAACCTTTCAAGTCACCTCCAGCGTTACCGTTTAGAGTATCTTTCAGTTTGCAGAAGCCTTAACATTTATTACAATATGTTTTATGGTTCGAATTGGGGGGGGGGGGGGGGGT